TCAGAATATTAACAAGCTGGTTAAGTGGCACGTAGCCTACCCTGCTGACAACCTTTAACATCCTGCGTAATATGTTATAGTCTTTCTTCAGTAGCCAGGGAAAAACTAATGGGGAACAATAGAGAATAATAGGCAGGATGCGAGAATTAACGAATTGTAGGAGTAAGGGTTGGGTAATACCAGAATGTTTTAACTTCTTAATGTAGAAGGTAAGACGGAATATTTTCTTAGAAATTGCTAAGATATGAGACGACCAGGAGAGATCAGCAGATAGAATGACACCTAGGTATTTAATTTCCGACTTAGTTTCTATTTCAGTGCCGTCTATTTTGCATACCTCATGAGAGCCAAACAGTTTGTTTAGGTCTGATTTATGCCTAAAGGTGAAATTGACTGTTTGGCATTTGGAGGGATTTAAGGTTAGACCGTTTTCCTTGGACCACTGGCTGATTTCTGACAGAAAGCCATTAAGTTTAGAGCAGTCGCTTTGACATTTGATAGGCAAAGATACAGACAGATCGTCAGCATATTTGACAAAATTAATGTCATTTGAAGATGGTAAGTCGTGTAGAAAGAAAGAAAAGAGAAGTGGGGAGAGTACAGCGCCTTGGGGGACTCCGGCTTCAGTGAGTACAGCAGAGGATGATTTACCTTTGTATACGGTGTACTGCATTCTGTTAGAGAAGTAGGAATGCAACCAGTTAGTGACCCAGGACTCAGTTTTTGTCGAAGAGAGCTTATTTAGCAGGAGACATCTAGGTACAGAGTCGAAAGCAGAAGTGAAGTCAAGAAACGCGCAGCGTACGTATTTGGCACCTTTATATAATGATGAGACGATGTTGTGTAAGACGGCTGCAGCGTCTAAAGTGCTCCTACCCTTTCTTTAGTCAAATTGTTTGGGGTCTTCAAAGTTTTTAAGGGAGGGTTCAAGTTTAAGAAGTACTAGTTTTTCCATAAGCTTTAGAAACGGGGAAGTGATGGCAATGGGTCTGAACTTTACGTTCTTGCCGTTTCCAGGTTTAGGGACAGGGACAATTTTGATGTCTTTCCATGCATCAGGTACGATATTTTTGGAGAAAGAAGCATTTAGGATGTTGGTTAGTGGAGAACACAACACATCTGCACATTGTTTTAGAACATAGGCAGGTATACCATCAGGACCTAGGCTACGTGAGGGCTTGAGCATTTTAAGACATTTTAGAACATCGAGAGCATTAAAGTCATGAAAGTTTTCAGCTACATGATAGGTAACATTAGAAGTAGTTAAAGTAGAAGGACAGCGTATAAAAGACTGATTAAGAGCATTAACATCATAAGAGGGAAAAGCATTACAACGCTTACTATTGCCAGTAATTTCATTAAAAAGTTTCCAGATGCCGATTGGAGATTTACATGATAAAAGTGTATCATTATAGATAGCATTAATATTTTTGATTTCAGATTTGATCTGAGCATTAATCTTTTTGAATCCTAACTTGTCTTTGGATTTGTATAAAGTTTCTTTTTTCCTGCGAAGTTGTTTGAGATAAGGAGATGAGAAGCGTTCGAGGCGTTTGAATAGTGTTTGTTTGGGACAGCATATATCAAGGCAAAACTTAAGATAATCCGTTATATTGACAATTGTGTCATCTAATGAACTTTCATGGAATAAATCCCAGTTAGTATTTTTTACATGCACCTTAGATTGAGTAAGTTGTCAGATGAGTAGCATCTTTGTTGTGCTTTCATAGACAGATGTGAGAAGACTTTGATATGTGTTTTGCTGTATATTTTTGGTAGAACACGAACAATAGAGTGATCAGAGTTGAGGATCGGTGTCCTTTAGAGAGATGTGATTGTCATCGTACAGTTCGTGTAACCATGTTTCTTGTAATGTGATTATCGCAGTATTGTGATAGGTGTCAGTGGACATCAAGGATTGTAGGTACATTATTTTGTTTGGCAGAGAGTGGCCTGCCTTTTATTAAATTGCGTTTGTGGTTCAGTGATGGGGGGAATACTTTGGACAGTCTGGGTTCGACTCTCGACTGACACACACACATACATATAAACAGAGAGTCCTGAACTACACCAGTGGAGGTTTTCAAATTCGATGACAGGTTGTTATCCGTTAAAGAAATCACTTGATGGTTTCCTCAGAGTATGGCCAGCCAATCCATCTCCATTTCTTCCTGCCTATTTGTTTCACAATCGGTTCCTGTTGGGTTGGTTCGCTCATTACCAGAGATCTCTGTTGCTGATCTTTTCTGGCCGGCTTGCCATCTAATCTTGAGTATTGAGCGAAGGCAGCTGTTAAAGAAGGTGTGTAGTTTGTTTGATGTGCTGTTTATGACTCGCCAAGTCTCTGATCCGTATGTTAAATAGCACTGACTTCACATTGGAGTTGAGAATCCGGATGTTACTTTTGATGCTGAGTGCTGTTGACCTCCACACACAGACTTGAGAGTAGTGAAAGCTTGTCTTGCTTTCCTTATGATTCTTGCTTTGATATCCTCGTCAGTTCCGTCCGCCTGTAGTTGAAACGATGCTTCCCAGTTAGGTAAAAGAGGTTGTTTCTTTCAGGTTCCTCCATTTATGCTGGCTGATTGTTGTCAGTTGTTGTTGTTGCTGATGGTGGTGTTGGCCATGAATCTTCATCACCTCTGTTTTCTCTATGTTCACCTGAAGGAAGTCCTACCTTCTCTGGATGCTTCTTCTGCCAACTTGTTGCTTTTCGCTTGCATATCTTCCAGTTTGTGGGAAATCAGACATATATCACATCGACAAAGTCCAGATCCTCCAAGTTTTTTGTGTGGCTCCATTTTATGCTTGTTTCCTCATTTCCCGCTGTTTGTCGCATTATCCAATCTTCTGCAATCAGGAAAATCATTGGCGATAGTAGGCAGCCAGATTGTCTTACTCCTGTCCTCACTTCGAAGGATTTCGTAAGTTTCCCGTTGTGGATTACTTGGCATGCAGCATTGTCGTATAGCTGTTGGATGAGATGTATAATTGTCGGTGGCACCCGTTGGTAGTAGCAAAGTAGTTTCCAAAGCACCTCTCGGTCGATTGATCTACAGTAGCTTTCGTCTAATTGCTTTTCGTAACTCGCTCACCATCCAAAAAGGAAACTGACTAACTGGTGTAGAGGAGATTCTCAAACTGATTTCAGAGTGATTGAAGGGTCTTTCATATGTCTCTAATCCTGGTTCTCTTACATCATCATCATCATCCGTGCTGTCGCCTACAGTTGAAAAGATGTCGTCTAGACGATAGATAAGTGAATAAACTGACGAGTTTCAAATTTCTTTCGTTGACAGTGATCGGTGTTTGTTGCTGGTGGTGGTGTTGGTTTTGGTGTCTCCTCTGTGTTCACTCGAAGTCATGGCTTTATTGTTTCTTCGGCCAGTTTGTGTTGGTTAGTTCATTGAATTCTAACTAATCAGAACAAAAGTAGGTATTATGTCACTTCCTTTGACAGTCAGTGTCCATTTTATGTTTTCTGATTCATCTGTATTTCAAAACATTGTAATCACATTATTCATTTTCAAGTATTGGTTTGATCGATGGGTTACAGGATGTCATCATCATGTGCTGACATCGGATCCAAAAAGCTCGAGCTGCTTACGCTAACTTACACCATCTCTGGCGTAGGCGTGACATCCGACTAGCAACCAAGGGACGTGTGTACTGCTTAGCAGTCCGCTCCGTCCTCCTCTGTGGCTCTGAAACATGGCCAATACGAGTTGAAAACATGAAAAGGTTGACTGTTTTTGATCATAGGTGTTTACGATCTCTTTCTCACGTTAGGTGGTATAATAAGGTAAGTAATGTTGACGTTAGGCGTAGAGTGTTGGGCAAAGAGGGAAAATCAATCGACGAGGCTATGAAGTTACATAGATTGAGATGGCTAGGTGACGTGCTGCTCATGCCTAACCATCGCCTCCCCCGACGGGCATTACTAGCTGATATAGGTGCAGGTTGATTGGAAAAGAGTAAGTGGTGGCCAAACAAAAACATGGCCTCATCAATCCATGAAATCCTTGACAGTTAAACTGAGTTAAGTAGGGAGATGCAGACTTCCGGGTTGGGGCCCGCCCTCGGGACTCTAAGAATCAATGGGTGGAGACAATAGGTGACATGGCTCAAAATCGTTGTCAATGGCTTACGCAGATGTATTCAGTCTCTGTAATCTTTCATATTCCTTTCTACCATTACTCACTCTGTTTCACTCTTATACTTGTCAAAACTCTATTGATTCTCTTCATCACTCATTTTCTTGTCTACCTTTGTGTGTGCTATTTGGAACGTGGGAACTTGAACTGCTGCACTTCGGTTCCAAGTTCTATGTTGAATCCAGCCAGCCGACATTGGTTAGAGAATCATTGGAAAACCTGCAGGGTGTAGTGGACAGCCAGCTGTTTCGTTAGCCTACTTTGAGATTCATTAGCAGTACGCACCCACTCAACTAGCGACTGGCCCTTTTTTTAGGTAGGTAGTTACCTGGGATTCTAGTGCGACGTCCTGACCAGTAGAGTGCAGTAGTAGGTCGGGTGTGAGGACAGATACTCGCTGTGGATGACATTGGCTGGTGTCAGTCGCGCTATGTCGTGAATTATTGTCAGAAGTTGGAATTCAATGGGCGATTGGATCGGGTCCCAGTGGCTTAATAGTCTACGAACTGGCTCGCCTTGTAACCAGAAGGCCCTGGGTGTGTACTGCTGAAGAGTCGCTTACTAGGCTAACAAAACAGTTGGCTATCTAGTCCTAGCTGCAGGTTTTCCAATCCTTCTCTAACCGATGTCATCTCATGATGATGAAATCCTGTAACCACATTATTCATTTTTGTTGTTGTTGTTTTATGGGCTTTTCCTTATAATGATGCCTGTTATGTAATAGTAATTTAGCGTATTTTTCAGAAATGGTGTTAATTTCTTTTGTGTGTGTGTTCGTTCTGTCCATTAATGTATGTTTGTTTTTGTGTTCTTTCTTTCTTTTCATTTCTTTTTTATTATTTCTAGTTGCACATCATATGAGTGAATTGATCAGTAATCCAGCTGCTCGTGAACGTGTATTTCCATTGGTAAGCTAGGCTTGCTGTCAATTAATTATTTCCTAATATTTCCTAATGTGTAGGGATTTGATTGATTGTTTACAGGATTTCATCATCATGTGCTGACATCGGTTAAAGAACCATTGGATGGAAACCTGCAGGAAGTACTGGACAGCCAGCTGTTTCGTCCTAGTGCTTGGGACTCTTCATCCGTGAGCCATTGGATCGGGACCCAGTGGCTGCTGCTTAATGGTCTGCGAGCTCACCTTGTAACTAGAAGGTCCTAGGTTTTAACCCCGATGGGTGCGTACTGATGAAGAGTCCCTAACTAGACTGACGAAACAGCTGGCTCTCCAGTACTCCTTTCAGGTTTTCCAACAGTTCTCTAACCGATGTCAGCTCATGATGAAATCCTGTAACTAATTATTTTCTATATTGTAATATCATGATGATTGACAAGTGTTAATTCACAGGGATTTGATTGATGTCAATTTTTTATATTCATCAAACTGACGCATTCATCAGCGTTGGAGAGTGTCACCATTTTGAAAGCAAGGTGTACTGGAGAGTGAGAGAGAGAAACAGAGGGCTGTTTCGTCCTATCCTGTGACTCTTCATCAGTACACATCTACGACCACTCCACCACTAATAATCTAACTAACTGATTGGTTTCAACATATACATAAATGTGACGGAGAAAGAATAGTGACTCAGGAAAACCAATAATTTTGTCGGATATGATAGGTCACAAAGCGTGAGCCATATTACCAATTGTCTCCAAGCTCTGGTACTTAGAATAGCAAAGACTTTAACCAGTAGGGCAGTGTACATCTCGCCACATGGCTGGCTCAAAGTAAGTATGTTTACGATTCCATGAAGTGATGAAGTCATGTTTTTGTTTGATGACCATGTACTATTTATTTTCGAAGCTGATATTTTCCGTTGAGGAAGACGAGGGTTTCGCATGCGTGACCACATGTCCTAACCATCTCAATCGGTATAGCTTCACAACCCTCTCGATTGATTTTCCCTCCTTACCTAACCACTTGATCGAAGCCTAACTTCAGTATTACTTGTATTATTATACCACTTCATATGGGTGATAAGTGCGTCGATGGCATAGTGGTTAGGACGCTCGCCGACCATGCACATGATTCGGGGTGCGATCCCCGGCCGGTGCACTCCTTTACCTCGCTAAGCCAGAAATAAAAGCTGGTGAAGAGGAAAGGTTGGACATGAGTCTGGCTAGCAACCCCATCCTGTAAAATAAACACTGCTACAGAACCTTCAAGCCACTAGCTTGAAGTCCTATGTTCCACTGAGGAATGTGAAGGAAAAAAACAAAAAACATATGGGCGATAAAACGGAGGTATGTATGAGCAAAGACAGTTAGGCTTTTCATATCCTCAGTACCAGTATTCAAGAAGGGAGATAAATCCTCGTGTGATAATCATAGAGGAATCAGCCTAACGAACATAGTCTCTAAAATCCTAGGCTCAGTAATCATGAACAGACTAAGCCGAACTCGGGAGTAACAAACGAGGGAAAATCAAGCGGGCTTTAGGCCAGGTAGAGGGTGCATAGATCATATCTTCACTCTCCGACAGATCCTAGAACATAGACACACTTTTAGGCGTCCAACAATTACCATATTTCTTGACTTGAAGGCGGCCTTCGACTCCGTGGATCGAGAGGTTCTATGGCAATGTTTGACTATGAAGGGAGTGCCAAGAAAGTACATTGCACTAATCAAGGCACTCTACTCAAACTCACGTAGCTGTGTAAGGGCTTATGGGGAACTGTCATCTGAATTGATAACAACCAGTGGTGTCCGTCAGGGATGTCCACTTTCCCCTTTTCTGTTTAACTTCATCATAGATATGCTAATGGAAGTATCCTTAACTGAACTTAACGACTTAGGAATCGACTTGTTACCAGGGAATAGTCTTACGGACTTAAAATACGCAGACGACATAGTCCTGTTAGGGGAGGACGCTGACAGAATGCAGAGTCTTCTGAACACCTTGAGCAGCAGTCTTCGTATGTTTGGCATGCGATTCGCCCCTGTGAAATGTAAGATGCTGCTACAGGACTGGACTACGTCAACTCCTAGCTTAGTGATAGGGAGTGAAGTGATAGAACATGTTGACCACTTCACCTATTTCGGAAGTTGTATCAGCACCAACGGATTGATTGGTGACGAAATCACAGCACGGATCCAGAAAGCTCGGGCTGCTTTCGTTAACTTACACCGTCTCTGGCGTAGGCGTGACATCCGGTTGTCAACCAAGGGACGTGTATACTGCTCAGAAGTTCGCTCCGTCCTTCTCTATGGCGGTGAGACGTGGCCATTGAGAGCGGAAGACATGAAAAGATTGTCTGTTTTTGACCACAGATGTTTACGATCTCTTACTCGCGTTAGGTGGTATAATAAGGTAAGTAATGTTGACGTTAGGCGTAGAGTGTTGGGCAAAGAGGGAAAATCAATCGACGAGGCTATGAAGTTACATAGATTGAGATGGCTAGGTGACGTGCTGCGCATGCCTAACCATCGTCTCCCCCACCCCGACGGGCATTACTAGCTGATATAGGTGCAGGTTGGTTGAAAAGAGTAAGTGGTGGCCAAACAAAAACATGGCCTCATCAATCCATGAAATCCCTGACAGTTAAACTGAGTTAGGTAGCGCGATGCAGACTTCCGGATTGGGGCCCGCCCTCGGGACTCTAAGAATCAATGGGTGGAGACAATAGGTGACATGGCTGAAAATCGTTGTCAATGGCTTATGCAGATGTATTCAGTCTCTTTAACCTTCATATTCCTTTCTACCATTACTCATTCTGTTTCACTCTTATACTTATCTAAATTCTATTGATTCTCTTCTCTCATTTTCCTGTCTACCTTTGTGTGCTATTTGGAACGTGGCAACTCGACCTGCTGCACTTCGGTGCCAAGTTCTATGTTGAATCCAGCAGCAGCAGCAGCAGCATATCCTCACAGATATGAAGGGGGACAGAACGAAATGTGCTAAGCAATACACACGTTCATTGATCCATAGTCAACCGGATATCATCTTTATATACCAGAGATGATGTACTTTGGCAAATGCCACCACATGAGCTTTATGTATCCTTGTTGAAATTTCGTCAGCGATCAGTTCTTCGGGGCTTATGTATAAAAGGGGGGGTTGGTTCATTTCAAGTTTATATCATGAATTAACATATCCACATTAGAGAACAACCACTACTTAATACCAGACTGGTATACTAAACAACTATTTCTTTTCAGCTTAGAAGTTTTCAGTGGTACACCTCTAAAGAACCTTTAGGTAACAAAACTAGCCCCTCCAAAATTCAGTCACTGAAACAGGATCCCAAAGGCCCATGAATTCCACCTGATGCTGATTCATGAGACATACATGTTGTGTCAATCACAGTCAGTATGATCGATGGAGTATATTCCCGCCCCCCCCCATCACACACACACACAAATTAGGTGGATCCCACTAGTTCATGACTTTCCATTAAAAAACACAACTTCATCTTGTAAATAATCCTGGATTCTATCCCCGGTAGATGCTATCATTGGTGCCTTACTGATGATGAAAAGTCCTAAACTGTGGGACGAAACAGCTTTCCACACAACTGTCTGGTTTTCATTGATTCTTCAATGCTTACACTAGTTTGCATTCTAATATGAAATATAATTCGAATTGTGTTTCCCTACCAAAGATTTTAAGAATTATTTGATGACCTCGTTTCGGATTAAGAAAGTTATTATTATTATTATTTTATTATTATTATTATTATCATTATTATTATTATAGCGTACACATAATAACCTTAATGAAAGTTTATACTATCTGGAGTTACTTGACTGTCTGAACGTATAGAAATTATCACTTTTTTAGTTCGATCGATTGATGAAATATATATGTATATATATTTAAAGGGTTGAGGTTGCTAGCCTCAGACACTCTGCTTTCTTGGAGTTTGGAGTAAACACAGGAGTCAGACAAGGGTTCTTATCATCACCAATGATATTCCTAATTGTGGTGGACTGGATTATGCGTCAGACAGTGGGAAACCAGAAGACAGGGATATCCTGGACCGACGTGAAGAACCTAGAAGACCTAGATTTCACACGTGGATGATTTATGTTTGATGTCACACAAAATCGAAGACTCCAGGTGGACATAGACAAGACGGAGGTTATGAAAATAATCAACCAACCAACAACAACAACAGCAACATCCAGCGTCAATCACCATCAACGGGAGGGATTTGAAAGAGGTTACTTCATTCACTCACTGATCTATGGAGCATTGTCTCAACTACACGAGGAACGGACGAGGATGTCAAATCGAGAATCGGAAAGGCGAGAAACACATTCATTAACCTGAAACCAATCTGGAAATCTTCCGCTGTCACTCAGCCTGCATCAACAACCAAATTCGGATTTTCAATACAAACGTCAAGTCAGTCAGTTCTTCTATACGGATCAGAAACTTGGCCAGTGGGTCACAAAGAATATTTCCAACAGCCTGTTGCAGACCTTTATCAACAACAACTGTCTTCGCTGGCTCTATACTCAAGATCAGATGGCCGGAAAGAATCATCAACAAGAAACTATGGGAACAAACGAAACAAGAACCAATTGCCAAACAAAAAATATGCAGGAGAAAGTGGAGATGGATTGGACACTCGCTGAGGAGGTCGCTGGGTGACATCGCGCGTCAGGCCAGTGCTCGAGTGGACCCCGAAAGGGAAGTGGCGAGTGGGACGTCTAATGAGGGTGACATGGATGAGATCGTGTGAAGAGGAGTTGAAACAGTATGGATTAACATGGATGCAGGTGAAAAGTACAGCAGAAGACAGAAGGAAGTGGAGACGTGCAGCTGAAGCTCTATGTTCCACTAGGAACCCTGAACCTGGACAAACCGTCCTCCGACAGGTCATCCATATTGGCGCCGTGCTTAGCGTGGACGCCTGATCAACATGAGCACCCATATGCCAGAACTCCCGGTCCCGCG